ACATGCAACATACACAGACCATACATGCTCGCATATACATGTGCACACACCACACACTATACATGCACATATGTACACACATATGCATCATACAAACACATACCACATGTGCACACATGCACACACAGATACCACACACACATGCATACACATACATTCATGCACACACACCCACCACACACACACCATGTACATACACTTTTTTGTTGAATATTTAGGGTTTTATTGGGCACTGCCTTAGCTCCACACTGTCCACACTCTCCTCAGCCTCCTTTAAGGAAAAAGGAGTTCTCAAATTTTTTCCTTTATTTCTTTTCCCAGGTTTTCTTTCAGGTAAGCAGAGATGGGCAGTACCTGAGATGTGCCATGTACACTCTTTTCATGTCCATACTCCATTCGTCTCTGACTAGCTGACATGGACCCAGGGAAGAACGGAGATCAGTAGCCATCCTCCAGTCCCCTTACACCCATCTCCCAGGCACATCAGTGTCCCCTGTCTAGGGCAAAGCAGGATATCCCTGTTATAACCAGAGGTGCGTGGCCTGCCCATGCTTTTTTTTCCATAGCTCCATACCATGACATTTGTGAGAAACTCTCAGAATCAGGGGTTGGTGCTTGGATTCTCAACCCTTTTTGTCCCAGCCCCAGGCTCTCCTCCAGTCTTCCCTTCTGTGAAGATGATAGAGACTAAGAGTCCCAGAGTGCACACACACAGATGTGCGCACAGATAGCTCGTTCCTGTCCTTTGCCTTTGGCCCTCTGTGTAGCATAGGTGCTGTGGGATAGTCCTTCTCTATGCTGTGAATATGTATTACTCTCAGTTAATAATGGAGCTGAATTGGCCTATAGCTGTCGGAGACCTGTTTTGACAAGGTTACCGCTTATCAGGGCAGGGGCACGGGGCTCAGAACAATAAGTAGCAATAAGTAAAGAGAATAAAAATGCAAATGAAGAGAATAAAGAATAAAGAAACATAAAATAGTACCAGGAGGGAGTTCCAGTGACTACTGAAATTGTCCATGTTTAATTTTCCATACACTTTTATACTCCAATATAAAAGGGGGAAAAGGCAAAAGACTGCTTTAACAAGATGCAAGGGACAACTAGAACAGTTACATGCTTCAATACTTTGAGACATCAAGTCATAAATCCATGAGGAAGTCACTCTGTTGCTTAGGCAGTGAGCCCACTCTAGACCAAGTATCCTGTAGGCAACCACTCCCTAGGTCAAACCCCCAATTCAAAAGAAGGAGCACAAGTATGCTTGAATTCTCGGACCTTCATCCAGGGTGGAGAGGATCTACCTGTATGAGCCATCTTAATGTCCAAAGCACCAAGTAACCATTAGGGTGCTAGATTAGGGTGTGTAGCCACAGTTGTTGTCAACAACTTTGAGCAACCTCAAACTCCCTGATCTTCAGATAAGGTGGCGTAGCCCACATTTTTGGGTCTCCACATATAGCAAAGCAGAACAGGATAGGTGAGAAAGCCAAACTGAAAGCACTTAGAGGAAGAAGGGTGGACTTAAGGGAGATGCCAGCCAGTCACCAGAGGAACAAAATGTATGAAGACAGGTAAAGCCATGAAGTGTGGAGGCCCAAAAATGTAAGCCTATTTCCACCTTGTCTGACAGTTAGAGAGTTGCAGGTTGCTCTAAGTGACTGACAAGTTTACTTGCATGTCATAACTCAGGATGTGATTGCTTGATTCTTTTAGCTTTAAAATAGCTCATACACAGTAGGCCCATGCCATCCTGATAGGTGGTCAGGATATGCAAATGTGTGTCTGCTCCTTCATTTGTAGCTATGAGGTCCTGGGGAGTGTTTGCCTTCATGATATGTGCTTTAGAGAAGCTTTGCTGCTTAAACAACAGAACACTAATGATTTGATGTCTCAGAGTGTTAGAGCAATTGACTGAGTTGTCCTTCATATCATGCTAATAAAATCTTCTGCTACTTTCTCCCCCATTTTCATTGGGTACAAAAGCTATGGGAAAATAAACGTGGTGATTTCAGTATTCATTGAAATGCCCTCCTGGTACTTTCATTGGTTTTTGTTTTTAATATTTCTCATGCATCTTCATATTCTTTACTAATATTTCTAAATTCCCATACCCCTAACCTGGTAAGAGGTATTTTTGTCAAGGCATATGATGCCCAATGTGGGGCTAACCAATAAACCCCCAAACACAAAGTATGGCCAGACATACAAAAGAGTACATGAAGGACCCCACAAAAGAAATTACACCACAGGTCAAAAGATAGATAATGAGTGCTCAAAAATAAATCATAAATAATAATAAAAATATGGGACAAACCATCAAAAATAAAACTAAGTAATTGCAAATATGGAACAAAAAAGAATATCCAACTATCTATACAGTTGCTCAAATGTATTTTGATAGCTGGAAGAGCTGAAGTGGAGCAAAAACTATTACAGAGATTTTTAGAGTTTGTAAATATTATATTCCTGCCCCTGTGTTGGCGTCATATCAGCCGGCACCTTCAGGCTGCTCTGGGACTCAGAGAGGCCAAAGTGAGGCCTTGCCTTCACCCCTACAAGCAGTGATGCTTTGATCACCAAGCCGCAGCCTCTACTGCTGTTAAACAGGTGGGAAGAGTGAAGGGAATGTGGTGTTTGGTCTAGCAATAGCCTGGATTATCACTGTGAATGTGGCAGTCCATGTGCATGCGCACAGAGCTGTGGCCAGCTGAGTCTGACCCACGCTATATGGTGGAGCCAGGAAAGGCAGGAGACAAGGAGGTTTAAAGGGCTCTACCTCCCATAGCCACTGTCCAGAGCAGGTCAGTGGAAATGCCTAAAGGCCATTTGGCCCATGAGCCAAGGAGTCTATATGGATAAATCTATGACTTTTAACAGAGGAGAGGATTCAGGAATTCTCCAAATTTTGTAATTACAAATTACAAAAAATTACAAGTTTACAAAAAAAAAATTGCAAGTTTTAAAATATAAAAGCAAAGATAGTAAGAATCGGTGTGGCTGTATCCACCTAAGCTTGTGGTCTCACAGGGCAGTCTCAGAGTCACAACAATGGTGGATACTTGAGAGCCTGAAAATCTAACACTGCCTCTAGCACTGGCCTCTGACGGGACTGTTAAACATTAAGGCATGGCCTGTGCCCAGGCACAGTAGGCAATGAGGGACTGACTGCCTGGTCACAAGTACCCAGTCAGGAGACAACATGGTTTGTGCCTGGCAGCATGGCCCAGCTTCAGCTACAAGTCTAGCCTGACCTGACAGCCAAGCTACATAAAGGTAGCCTCAGGAAGCTACAGCTCCAGGTCAGTCAAATGTCTGTGAAAATGTAATAAGCAGGTTAAGTATGCTTTCTTTACTTCCATTTTATATTTTTTGCTTGTCAAATATCTAGTGTTTCCGGTGTGTAGATTGATATCCAGGTCTTCGATTCTGCTCCATTGGTCCTCTTGTCTGTTTTGATGACAATATCTAGGCTGTTTTCAGTACTGTAGCTCTGTAATAGAGTTTAAAGTCAGCGATTATAATGTCTTCAAAAGTTCTTTTATTGTACAGAATTGTTTTGCTATCCTGTTTTTTTATTGAATATTGTTCTTTTGAGGTCTGTGAAGAATTTTTATGGACATTGTACTAAATTTGTAGATTGCTTTTGGTAGGATTGCCACTTTTACTATATAAATTTCTATCTACCCAAGAACATGGGAGATCTTTCCAATTTGTGGTGTCTTCTTCAATTTCTTTTTTCGCAGATTTAAAGATCTTGTCTTTTACTACTTCCCATTAAAATTAGATCCATGTATGTCTCTCTTAGGGTCTTCTTTGCTGCCTAGGTTCATGGGGATAATGAATTGTAGGCTGGATCTTCTTTGCTTCTGAAGGCAACCACTCCTTAGGTGGCCTCATAGTTACAAAAGAAGGAACAGAAGTACATTTGTATATCCTGACCACCTGTGAGGATGGCATGGACCTACTGTGTATGAGCTATTTTAAAGTTAAAAGAATCAAGCAACCACATCCTGAGTTAGGTTGTTCAACTAAGCTTGTCAGTCACTTAGAGCAACCTCCAACTCTCTGACCAGCAGACAAGGTGGAAATAGGCTCACATTTTTGGACCTCCACAAGTCCTCCCTTTTTAATAATTTTAATAAAGCCTATGCTTCTGCAACAGGACAGATGATCACATATGCCTTAGGTGAACACTTTCCTGTTTCCCAGACTTACCCACCTTCGGTACTTGTATTTTAACCAGACATGTCCATGTATTAGGTGCCTGGAAGGAAAAGGAATCAAACCCATCTTTGACTGCCAACATCTGTAAGGAAGGGGTTAAGGGAGAAAACATCTCTGGGCATTGTGTCTCTGGGCCAATATTTCATCAAGAGAGTTCATCTACAATTAGATAATGTTTTGTAAATAAACATGCTCCTAATGGTTACAGTCTCCTCAGAGTTGGCCATGCCCTTTTTAATTGGCTTAGAGTGTTTCTTACAAATTATTAGCTGTATCAAAATCTAAATTTCTTATCAAAGATGTCAAAGTCAAGCAACCTTAGAGAATGTCAAACTTTTCTTAACTTCTTATGGTAAACTAAAGCAATTACAAACTTTAGCTGGTGAATACCATAATTCTAGACTGAAAATTACCCAATTCTCTTAAACATATTCTAATCAAACAACAGGAAAAGGTTTCTCTGATGGGTGAGAGTCCAACAGCATTGCTGCTTTTAAGTAATTGCCCAGTCTCTGAGCAGCAACAAAAAACTCTTGGGTTAACCTCCTCATATTTGAAGAGGGGCTTCAGTCCTTTTTCCCCTGAGGGGAAAATTGAGGTCTCAGGTCTCAGGTCCAATATTTTAACAGCAGATTGAATACCATACTGGCAAAATGAGTTGTGTGTCCCAAAGAGTAGAACAGCTAAATGCTTAGTCTGCATTTTTGGTCCGGCTCCAAGGTCCGGCTCCAAACAAAAGTTTGGAACTTTTGTAAGTTCCAAACAGGACTTACCTGGTTTGGAAGTTTGCCCAGCAAGTCTATTAAGAGGCTGGAAATCACCAGTCTTTGCCATAATTTTCTTTCCCTAGTCAGACTGCAGCAAGTTGTTGTCAGTCAAGCACAATGGTTCAGGTACCTCCTTCTGCTTCTGCTATGAAGTCATCAGTGGCTACAATGTCATCAGGGTTGGTACTCCTCTGCTGTAGATGCACTCATCTCATCCAGCTTTATTTTCTTTCTGTGAAAAAAGCACAAACATATCCTCACCCCAAATTAATAGAGGGTTGGGTCCTTTCCATAATACCTTGCCTTAGCAAAGGTTGCCTTGGTACTATTATGTCAAAATTTTTCTGTGGCAGATTGTTGATGGTCATCCATAAAAGGTGTATGACTTCAGGCAAGGTAATGACTTCAGGCATTACGTGGCAATTTTAAAGTTTTTTTGTTTTTATTTTGTGAAGTTGTTTTTAAGGCGCCATGAACATGTGCTACTTTTTTTTTAACCATTGACAATGTAGCTCTTCCATTGGAAGAACCATTTGTAAAACTTAGCATCCTTTAAGGGATTTTATTTTTGCTACAACTTGGGAAAAATTAAGGAAAATAGTTGTGCAAATTGCAGCTAGGAAAAGATTATTAAGCTGGCCTTTAAATTGGGCAATTTAAATGCAATTGCCCAAGAATTATTAGTTTGAAATAACCAATCAATTTGTTGCTTAGTATAAGGAATGTTGATCATAGCTGGTTTTTGTCAAAATATATTTTAGAATTTATCCTTCTCTTTTGTGCTAAGCAAGCTACTGCTTTAAAATAAGGGTTTAATACCTTAACAGGCAAAACAGGAAGATGAAGACCATTTTGCCACAAAACTGCTGTAGGAGTAAGTTTTGTAGGTAATTACAGGCTGATCATAATTAATGCAATGTACCTGCTCTTTCTGTTTAGCGTACTCTACCTGGGTTGGTCCCTGTCTGGCAGCTTCTGTAAGCTGTCTACTGGAATTTGGATCAATGCTCCCTTTACCAATTTTATTTAATGGCTCAAGGTCTCCCATAGGACGGTTTTAAATAAGGTCTCAGCCATTGGATGTCTTATTAAAAGTTTGTAAACTATCTTTTTAATAGAACTTGCAACTTAAACTGTCTGCTTAGCTGACAGGAAAATGGAAAAAAGAAATCATATTTAACAAATGGTGTTGGCATAACTGGATGTCAACATGCAGAAGAAAATAGATCCATACCTATTGCCATGCATAAAACTCAAGTCCAAATGGATCAAAGACCTCAACATAAAACCAACCACATTGAACATCATAGAAGAGAAAGTAGGAAGTACACTTGAACACATTGGCACAGGAGATCACTTTCTAAATATAACCCCAGTAGCACAGATATTGAGAGAAACAATTACTAAATAGGATTTCCTGAAACTGAGAAACTTCTGTAGAACAAAGGACAAGATCAACAAGACAAAACAGTAGCCTACAGAATGGGAAAAGATCTTCACCAACCCTACATTAGACAGAGGGCTGATCTCCAAAATATACAAAGAACTCAAGAAATTGATCATCAAAAGAACAAATAATTCAATAAAAATGGGGTACAGTCCAAAATAGAGAACTCTCAACAGAGGAATCTAAAGTGGTTGAAAGACATTCAAGGAAATGTTCAACATTCTTAGCCATCAGAGAAATGCAAATCAAAACAACTCTAAAATTTCACCTTACAACTGTAAAAATGGCCAAGATCAAAAACACTGATGACAGCTTATGCTGGAGAAGATGTGGGGAGAAAAAAACACTCCTGCATTGCTGGTGGGAGTGCAAATTGGTCCAGGCACTTTGGAAATTAGTGTGATGATTCTCAGAAAATTAGGAAATAACCTATCTCAAGATCTAGCAATACCTCTTTTGGGTATATATCCAAAGAATGCTTACTACAAGGATATGTGTTTAACTGTTTATAGCAACATTATTTGCCATGATCAGAACCTGGAAACAACTTAAATACCCCCTCAGCTGAAAAATAGATAAGGAAAATGTGGTACATTTACACACTGGAGTACTACACAGCAGAAGAAATAATGGCATCTTGAAATTTGCTGGCAAATGGATGGAGCTAGAAAACATCATATTGAATGAGTTAACCCAGACCCAGAAAGACAAGCATAATTTATGCTCACTCACAAGTGGCATTTAGGCATAAAGGAAAGAAAACCAGCCTACAATTCACAATCCCAGAAAACCTAGACAACAAAGAGGATCCTAAAAGAGAGGTACATGGATCTAATATACATGGGAAGTAGAAAAAGACAAGCTCTCCTGAATAAATTGGGAGCATGGGAACCATGCAAGAGGGCAGAAGGGGAGGTGGAAAAATGGGAGGGGAGTGAGAAAAATATATAGCTCAATAAAAATAATAAAAAAGAAAAGTAAAAAAAATAAAGTGTTTTAAAAAGAATTAAAGTTACAATATCCAGTCCATTTGTATTTGACAAAATTAGAGAAAATATTGTACTATCTTATCTTGCTGTGCCAAAAGTTTTATATCTAAATTACCTTTTTTATCATGACTAAGAAAAACTGTATCTATCTAGTCTTCAACTCCATCAAAGTCCTGAGAAGGAAATAACGCTACCTAGGTAAACAAGACTACAGGTGAAGGACTTCCAGAATTGTGAGAAATGATGGAAACAGCTGGCTTCCTGGACAGTCACCCAAAGTTTCTCTGTGACATTGTGGCATCCCATTTTGTCCTACAGATCTGGCACATTTTGACCAACTTTTCTGTGTATCAGGTGATTTTGAAGGACTGTCCTACCTTGTCTTGGCAAAGCTCAGCAGTTAGCTTTCTTGTGTTCTGTTGGTCCAGTTTTAATAGTAACTGTCAGCACTTGAGGCAAGGGTAATTTCTTTGCCCACATGGATATCTTTGCAATAAAGAAAACAGGCTTCATATGAAGTCTTTTTATGCACATCATCTTTTTTGAAACACATTGGTGCTTTCAGGAGTAGATGTGTCTCACTGTAAGAAAAAGTTTAAGTTATTAAAGCATTTTAAATGCCATATTCTGTAGGTATTTGAAGTGCTTGAAGAAGATTATATATCTAACTGAAATGTACTTTTGTATACCTAGAAAATTTTAGTAGCATGACAATAAGTTTGACTACTATAGAAGACTAATTGTATTTTTGTAATTTTGTCTTCTTTAATTATACGTTATATTTTAATTGAGCTGTATAAACAAAATACCTTAAACAAGAGTAGAAGTATACACTATATATACAATATAGCAAAGTTAACCTTAAACTTATAGCAATGAACTAAAACCCATACCAATGTAAATATTTTGAGATTAACAGCTATTTTTCCCTTTGGATTAAAGTGAATTCAATAATCTCCTTTTCCCCCCTTCATTTCTTTATCATATTCTCCTTTCTTCTTTTAGAAAGAGATTGACTATGACCAATAGCAATTTGTAACTAACCCTCCTTAAACGAACACGAACACAAAGATTTATAACCTGGTGTAGGAGGTCCTTCTATATTTGTGTTGCTTTCATTGACTGAATAAAGAAAACTGCCTTGGCCTTTTGATAGGGCAGAAACTTAGGTAGGCAGGGAAGACAGAACTGGATGCTGGGAAGAAGAACAGAGTCAGAGAGAGCCACCTGCCATGAAGCTGCCAGATCAGACATGCTGAATCTTTCCCGATAAGCCACGACCCTTTGGTGACATACACATTATTAGAAATGGGTTGAATCAAGATGTGAGAGTTATCCAAGAAGAGACTAGATATAATGGGCCAGGCAGTGTTTTAAATGAATACAGTTTCTGTGTAATTATTTCAGATGTAAACTAGCTGAGTGAGATGGAACAAAGGGGTCCCACACTCCTCTGCAACAATAACCAATATTTTGAGAATGTGGGTGTAGTTTTCTTGACTATTTTCTGTTGATTGGTGTGCACTAGTGATCTTTGAGGGACCCTGAGAAAATCAGGATAATTGTTAAATCTTGACTGGAGTATTCTGTGAGGCTGAATCATCTCAATCAGTAGCCTTGAGGCTTTTCTGGATGTAGAACTCAGAGGAAACTGCAACAGAGGTGCTCTGAAATGTTGGATCATCTGGGACCTCCTTTCCCATTGGAAATATTTCAGAGGGTTTTCCTCAATCTAACCTGGTTTTCCTTTAGCCAGAATGAAACCAGAGCCTCTCATTTTCTGTGGAAACAAAAGCATAACATCTCTTTCCCAAAGTAATATTTTAAAAATATATAGACTGGTTTAATTCAGTAGGCTTCACAATCAAATGTCTTTCTGCAGTTAGCTCATTAACAGTAAAAAAAAAAAAAACCACCCAAAAAATACAATAATATACATAACCCAGACTCTGTGTATGTTCCATCTTTACATGGCTTATTATATAATTTTATTATTCTACTTCCTTTTAAGGATTTTATTATTTTTCAATCATTTTTTAAAATCTATTACTGTTTCTATCCTTCTCTTTCCTCTCTCAAACTTATGCATGTTATTTCAAACACTCTGCAACCCATGTAGAGGCGCTTTTTTTCTCAATCTGTCTCTATTATTATGTATCTCTAACGTTTTCTGTCTGTATGAACAAAAACCGTAAATTTGCCATGCAGCACATGGCTGTGCTCTCAAGCCCCCAGGCAGCAGCAAGCTGGGAGAAACCTCTTTCTTTTACAATAGAATCTGCCACTCTGTAGCTCAATTCTGCCACAACCAGGGGAGATACTTCTGTACCATTACCTGCATGTGAGACATAAACCATGAAGCTGCACTTGGCTTCATTTTTGTGTGTCTAGAACCCCTTCTTTAAAGTTTTCTTAGGTTTTATGTGGATATATGTGCACCATATTGGAGTGCCATATGTAAACAGAGGTGGAGCTTTTCTTTTGTCTTGACTGCCTGGTCCCAATGAACACATTGAAGCATATATTAATTACGGACTGTTTGGCCTATAGCTCAGGCTTATTATTACATAGCTCATACAATTTAAACTAAGCCATTTTTATTCATCTACATTTTGCCACGTGACTTCCTTGTCATAGACCAGCCTTGACAAAAATACCTCTACCAGGATAGTGGTGTGGGATTTAGAAATATTAGTAGAAAAATATGAAGACACATGAAAAATAATAAGAACAAAAACTGTTGAAAGTATTTAAGGGCATTTCAGTAAATAATGAAATCGTCTGTATTTATTTTTTGAAATTTTATATCCAATGTAAATGGGGGGTAACAAAAGACTTTATTAACATGATACAAAGGACAACTTAGTCAACCACTCTAACACTCTGAGACATAAAATCATTGGCATTCTATTGTTATAGTAGTGAAACTGCTCTAGGTTTCTCTTTTGATGACCAATTTCTTGAATTCTTTGAATATTTTGGAGATCAACACTCTGTCCAATGTGGGATTGGTGAAGATATTTTCCCATTCTTTAGGCTGCTATTTTATATAGTCTTGCTTTACAGTAAGACCATGTCATTTGCTTTACAAAAGCTTCTCAGTTTCAGGAGGTCCCATTTATAAATTGTTTCTCTCAGTGTCTATGCTACTGGGGTTATATTTAGGAAGTGATCTGCCAATGTGTTCAAGTATACTTCTTACTTTCTCTTCTGTGAGGTTCAGTGTGGTTGGCTTTATTTTGAGGTCTTTGATCCATTTGGACTTGAGTTTTATGCACGGAATTAGATATGGATCTATTTTCATTGTTCTACATGTTAATACCCAGTTATACCAGTACCATTTGCTTAATATGCTTTCTTTTTCCATTTCCTTTTTTTTGTTTCTTTATCAAAAATCAGATGTTTATAGGTGTGTGGATTGATATCCAGGTCTTCAATTGTGTTCCATTGATCCTCCTGTCTGTTTTTATGCCAATATCAGGCTGTTTTCAGCACTACAGCGTTTTAGTAGAGTTTGAAGTCAGAGATTATAACACTTCCAGAAGTTCCTTTATCGCACAGGCTTGTTTTGGCTATTCTGAGGTTTTTGCTTCTCCATATGAAGTTGAATATATTCTCTTTAGGTCTGTGAGGAATTTTGCTGGGATTTTGATGGACATTGTACTAAATCTGTAAATTGCTTGTGTAAGGTTGCCATTTTTACAATGTAAATTTCTACCTACCCAAGAACATGGGAGATCTTTTCATTTTCTGGTGTCTTCTTCAATTTCTTTATTCAAAGATTTAAAGTTTTTATTACACAGGTCTTCCACTTGTTTGGTTAGAGTTACTCCAAATTATTTTATGTTATTCGTGGCTATTGTGAAGGTTGAGGATTCTCTGATTTCTTTCTCAGCCCAATTATTATCCGAATAAAGGAGGGCTACTGATTTGCTGTTGTTGTTAATATTGTATCCTGCTACATTACTGAAGGTTTTGTGAGTGGTGGAAGGTCCTTGGTAAAATTTTTGGCGTCACTATCATCAGCAAGCAGTGAGAATTTGACTTCTTCTTTTCCAACTTGTATTCCCTTGATCTCCTTTTGTTGTCTTATTGCTCTAGCTAGGACCTCAGGAACTATATTGAATAGTTATGGAAAGAGTAGACAACCTTGTCTTGTTCCTGAATTCAGTGGATTTGCTGTGAGTTTCTCTTCATTTAGTTTGATGTTGGCTGTTGTCTTGCTGTATATTGCCTTTATTATATTTAAGTATGTTTCTTGTATCCCTACTCTCTCCAAGACTTTTATCATGAAGGGATGTTACCTTTTGTCTAAGGCTTTTTCAATATCTAATGAGATGATCACGTGTTTTATTTTCAATTTGTTTATATAGTGGACTAACAGATTTTTGTAGGTGGAACCATCCCTGCATCTCTGGAATGAAGCCTACTTGGTCAAGACAGATGATTTTTTTTGATGAGTTCTTGGATTCGGATTGCCAGCATTTTATTGAGTATTTTTGCATCAATGTTCATGAGTGAGATTAGTCTGTAATACTCTTTCATTGGTTTGGGTATCAGGGTAATTGTAACATTGTGAAAAAGTTTGGCAGTGTTCCTTCTGTTTCTATTGTGTATAACAATTTGAGGAGTACTGGTGTTCTTTAAAAATTTTGTAGAATTCTGTGCTAAAACCATCTGATCCTGGGCTTTTTTTTTGGGGGGGGGGGGGGTGGGGAGACTTTTGATGACTGTTTCTATTTCTTTAATGGTTATAGATCTATTTAATTTGCTTCTTTGATCTTCATTTAATTTTGGTAAGTGATATTTATCCCCTAAAATTGTCCATTTCCTGTAACTTTTCCAATTTTGTGGTGTACAGGTTTTAGAAGTATGACCTGAAGATTCTTTGAATTCCCTCTGTGTCTGTTGTTATATCCCCCTTTTTGTTTCTAATTTTGTTAGTTTGGATACGTTGTCTCTACCTTTTGGTTAGTTTGAATAAAGGTTTGTCTATTTTGTTGATTTTCTCAAAGAACCAATTCTTTGTCTTATTGATTCTTTGTATTGTTATCTTTGTTTCTATTGCATTGATTTCAGCTCTCAATTTGATTATTTCCTGTTGTCTACTCCTCCTGGGTGAGTTTTCTTTTTTTTTCCTAGAGCTTTCAGCTGTGCTGTTAAGTCACTAGTGTGAGAATTCTCCACTTTATTTATGTAGGCATTTAGTGCTTTGAACTTTCCTCTTAGCACTGATTTCATAGTTTCCCATAGGTTTAGGTATGATGTGATTTAATTTTCATTGAATTCTAGGAAGTCTTTAATTTCTTTCTTTATATCTTTCTGACCCATTGGTGGTTCAGGTGAACATTGTTTAATTTCCATGTGTTTGTAGGCTTTCCGAAATTAGTGTTGGTGTTGAATTCTAATTTTAAGTCATGGTGATCCGATAATATACATGGGATTATTTTTTTTATCTGTTGAGGTTTGCTTTGTTACCTAGTATGTGGTATTTTTGAGAAGGTTCCATGCTGAAAAGAGTGTATATTCTTTTATGTTTGGATGGAATGTTCTATAGCTGTCTGTTAAGTCTATTT